CAGCATAGGATAAAAACTGCACTTTACCTACTTGAAGGCATACTACTTAACATATAATTTTCTGAGTACATGAATCATAAAATAAAGTACACACAATGTTGGGGCTGAACTTGGATTTATACCTCTGTCATCTTGCTTCTATTAAAATCTCGCGTCCTCGAGAACCCTTAGGTCAGAAATATCGTTCTATTGGATCTTTACTTGGTTGTCCATTCAGCCCTCTATTTACATCAAACTTGGTTATTAACAGAAGCCTTACCAACATTGATGGCTGATGCAAATACTCATAGAGTCATAGAGTCATACAGCATGGAAACAGACCCTTACTTGGAAAAGACTCTTGTGTTAAGTGTGTTAACATAGGGAAGGGGAATGGATAGTCTCAAAACTGGGATTAAGACAAGTTACCCAGGCCTCAATCTGGGCAGGGTATGAGCCAGTAAGTCAGCAGGTCAAATATATTTAGAGTCACCAGGTTAAAATGGGGACCTTGATTGCAACATCAGGAGGATCAACTAAAAAGTCTGGGGGTCCAGGGAAGGATGAAGAATGATTGGGCAAATCATGACTTAAAAGTGGGAGTTCAAAACTCACTTCAGTGAATGTCAATTCTAAAGCTTACTATTTCAATCTAAACCTAATTGTATAATGCCAATACTTTGACAAATGAGCACTCAAAGTGGGCAGAATAAATAGAATTTTGCTGAAAGGAGGTTGAGTTCATCTCTGGAATGTGAGGTCAGCCGATTCGCAAAAGTCCAGCAATAACTGACTGTGAACCATCTGCCTTCAATTCCTACTTAAGCAGCACATTAACACAGCATCTATCATCCTCATTAGGGCTCTGTGGTGCAGTGACAATGTCCCTAACTCTGAGCCAGGAGGTCCAGGTTCAAGCTCCAGAAGTATGCAATGATATTTCTGGCTTGATTCAAAAGAATCTATACCATCCTTTATTCTAACGGATTTTGTGGCACAGTGTAGTGCCTTTGCTACCGGGTCAGAAGGCCCAGGTTCAAGTCCCACCTGTATTGGAGGAGTGCCTGAACCGGTTAATACAGAAATAATTTCTGGAGTGCATTATTAATTTTCACAACAATATTTTAATATGAATTTTTAAAATTGAAATGTAAATCTTTGATTTCTATCTCAGTGTCCCTTTAAGGGACTGGCACCATTTAACCTGGTTTAGTTTGGTCTGATTTGCCTTCTTTGATATCATTTGATTTAACTGGTTTAGCAAAAGAGCTAGCTTATACCATCCATGGGCTGTTGAGGAACAGTATCTACCTCTGGGCCATGATTGGGTTCAACTCTCTCTTGTCCCTAAGGTGTGTCTCAACAAGTTGAACCAGGTCATCCAATTATGGGTCTGATTTCATATTAAATGAGCTCAGGATGACGATTGTGCATGGCCAGGGATATTGCCAGAAGATTTGAATTCACCTTTTTCAGCAATTGTAGATGCTTCCAAACTCTCTTGTCTCACAGCAATGCAGGATTACAGACAACACGTGCTGTTTGGGGACTAGACCTGGTGTGATAACCTAGAGATATATGGGAAGGATGTCAAAGGTAAAATGTACCCTTAATAGGACTGTGAACTTTCACATACTGTCCGAAAACATCAAGCGATTCCAATGTCAGCTGCTGGAAGTGGACTTGAGGTCATATGGACTAGGTGGCAATCATGTCCCATTAGTCCTAAAGATAACAGCTGACCTTCATTTCTTTGCAAATGGATCAGTTCAGGGAGCTACTTGGGATTTCTGAGACATTTTGCAGTCCCCAACTCATATGTGCATCTGGAAAGACAATGATGCTCTCTTTGTGAAAGCCCATCAATTGATTTAGTTTCTCCTTGACACAGAGTTGACCAGCGAGGGCATTAGAATTTACTGTCATTGTTGCATTTTTGCAGGTTTAGGTTGGAATTGATCGTAGCCACACAGCAATCAGAGCACCCTATCATCAACCAGCAATATTCATCAACAGAAAAGGATTCCACTTGGTTAACGTTCAAAGGATTTGTGACAAAAAAACGGCTAACACAGGTCTGCACATGATACCCTGGATCTGTCACAGGTGCCAACCATTTTCAAAGGCTCTCAGCTAGGCACATCACTCTGCACCTGAATGATGCCACTTTTATGAAACCCTCAGACTAATGCTGAGGAGAGACATAGTGCTGCTCATCTTGGACCAGACTCACTGTGGAATAGACAGATGGTGCCATCAGTATACCCCAGACAGAGTGTTCTGTCTTAACTGGTGTGCTGCACCCTCAACAATCTCAGATGCCAAAGGGGGCTGAACGTGGTGCCAGAGGAGAAGATATAGCATGAACTAACGAAAAAAAAAGAGAGGGTGCCACAAACCCTTGTGAGGATAAGAGTTAATTTATTTTCTTGTGGAACTGCAGCCATGTCCATTTGCTTGGGACACTGACCCACGCTGTCATTTCAGCCCAGGTCAGACGGGTTTGAAAGGGTAGCTTTGTGGTGCCATCCCAGAGAAGAGGACTGCTCTTTTGTCCTTGACTCCATCCATTAGCATTTGCAACAAAGTGCCACTGAATTGAGAGGTAAGTTTCTGCTTCTTAGGAGGCATTTCTTTGAAGTTGATGGGGTGGTGACCACCGCAGGCTGTGTGGATTCTCCGAGCTTTCAGTGAATAAAGTAATATCCATATGGCCTTTAATGTACACTACAGCTTACAATCTGCCAAGGACAAGATTTTCCTGCTCCCTCACTACATGATTCACCAAGTGACTCACACAATATCTTGCTTGTAAAGATGAGTTGAAAAACAATAATCATGCAAGATAACTTGTCCTTTGTATTGGCAGATGTGATGCCACCTACGATGCCTGTCACCAGTTCCAAAATGGAAAATCTCGGCTAACGGGTCACACCAGGTCTCCATCTGGGTATTTTACTTCATGCATTCTCTGAGCTTCTCTTTGTAACCCCGCACATTGTTCCTTTTCAAACAACCATCTAAATCCTATAAAAAAACTTCAACTGAAACTACCTCCACCATGCTTTCAAGACAACGTATTCATTTCATGAAAAGGGATCGTGCACAGAGCACAGAGGGTTACATAAATGCAATCAATATTGTTCAGGACTTTGGGGAACGCAGTATGGTGATAACACGCAACTTGTCTACACATTGACAAATCTTCACTGGTTGTGAGCACTCCTGAGGACACAAGTGCTCAGGCATAAACGCAAGTTTTTTCTATTTGATTATCCGTGGGGAAAGTGGCAAAGTTGCTATTTCTGGCAAAACAATGCATCTGTCACCTGTTTGAAACATCTGTGCACTACGAACTGACTGGAAGTTGCAGGGTCTCCTGTGGCAGTCTGGAATGAGCCTGAACCATAAAAATTGACAGCTATAACAATCATCTGCAATGCTGTGCTTATCCTGGAATCACCTGCAGGTCAAATTACAGCATGAGCCATCACTTTATCATAACTTCCTTATGAATCTCCACTTCCCCTGCTCTTTAGTCTGACATTACTGCAGTTAAGGCATAAAAACAGATGCTGTAGTCCTCAGAAAAAAAAAGACTGATTTTAAAATATTTCAAGGCACCTTCAAGTATGACATGAGAGCATTCCCTAAGATTCAATCTTTGATCCTCGCCTATTTGTCACCTATAGGCTGCCTCTTGGAAATATCATCCAAAGTCATGATGTCAGATTATGTTTGAACATCAAAAATAGGAGGAGGTCAGCCATTTTGTTTCCCAAGGGAGTCAGAGCCTCACTAATAGCAACTAAATGCCATTTTTGTGGTTAAGTGTTGGGGTTGAGTATGTCAGGTAGCAACTAACATGCCACCCCACTATAAGAGAACCCATTTAATCACCTGCCAATCAGCTCACTAAGAACAGACAGCTGAAAATGGGTGAGTTTCTTGGTGAATCACCTTGAAATGGGCAATCTGGAGAACTGGAAGATGCCTGTCAATCAGAGGCTGGAAACTTTTGGCTCCCTAAGTTCACCAGTCCAGGTCTATGCCTCAGTGTTTTGGTGGGGAGAAGAGGGGTGGTGTTCAGTGGTGAGATGGTAAGTTACAGTTATCTTCTTGTCGTAGGGGAGGTATGTCACAAGGTGTTCAAGGTTAAAGGGGTCTGAAGCAAGGGCAGAGGTGTGGCTTTCTATAGAAATTTTAGACTAGGGCAATGGGAGGCATCTCTCCAAGCTGCCAGTCAGGTTGCCATGCATACTCAGCCAACCTTTTCTTGCCCAATGAGAAGGCAGATGTTCAGGGAAGTGGAAAACTGAGGCTCTTAGTGGCCACTAATTTACAACTTAATATCGAGGGAGCTTCTTGATCATAACCTAATAAGTGAAATGGTGAGAAAAGGGTGAGTTTCTCTCCAAGTCAAAATCACTCATTTCTGTCCCATCTTCCCACCTCTTTCACCACTGCCAGAGGTGGGAAAATTTGCAGCCTAAAAGTCAAACTTGCGACCAGAAAAGACAGAACAAGTTAAAGACAATTGAATCTCAGATGAAAAAGCATACTAAATCTTACATCACACAGCTGAACCTTCCCGTCATTTTGTGGCCTGACCTATTGTGACCAACTTTCAGCAGATTTGTTAACATTAAATATCTGAAAAATAGTTTTGTAATTGGACCCAACTTTGCATGCCTACTAAAACTGAATTCACCTTGTTCAAAAAGAGAAAGCAATGAATGACTGCTTGATTGTACACCAACATATTTGGTGCGGCTGTTTGCCAGAGCTGATGAGATATGGAGGTATTTAGCTTCACTTTGCACATCCTCATATCTCTGTGAACATAAACATGATTAATCCAATGCAAACCGTCTCTTCTGGTAAATTTATACACTGCATCAAACATAAAATGCTTTTGCATCTTTGCAAAGGACTCTGTCCCACAACGTACCTAAACACTCATTCAAGAATTATCTGAAATGTTCCAGATTGTTCAATCTTTGTTTCGCTGGGTCACAAACCTTAATTGATCTGTTCCAGTTCTGTACCTTGAGACTCGAGCCATCGACAAAGGGACCGATAAGGTATCTAGCCAACGTTTCTCATATTTTGGTTCATCAGCTGAAGGTGAAGAAGGTGATGACGGTGCCTGCACAAAATACATGAGAACTGTAAGAAACCCTAACTAATTTGAAAACCACAGCAGTGCTTATGTTTGGAATAAATCACAACACCTTACATTATTAATGTCCAGATTTCATAAATAACCAAACACATAGATGAAATATAAAAGTGTAAACAGCCCAGAGGGTTGTGACTCTGGGCTATTATATCAACTGCAAAATCAGAAATGCATGTCAACTACTGTCTATGTGGATCTCACAATAAGTATTCTGATATGAGCACAAAGCAGGCAAGTTAAATGTTTTATCCATTCTTTATCGAATTTCCAAATCGACATGTGAACAGATTTTAGGAAAAGATTTTGAGAAAGAAGCTTAACCTACATTGAGATCAGCTGTAGGTTAAGGTCTTCTCTACTTAGAATTAAGGAACATAAAAGTGGTGGTTCGACAGTGAAGTTTTTTGTTTTACAATTGTGTGATATGACAAAAGAAACTCTGTCTTTTATGAACTTTAAGTATTGACTATCAGTTTTGCCATTGTTGGCTATTTACATACTGATTGACACTGTCACAGCTCAGTATGGACAGACTGTTTCTGATTTCAAATATTAACTGATTCAAATATTAATATATTTCCTCACTCAAGGGTCAAATTGGCTTCCTTTAGATGCTCATTTAACTAAATGCGTTAACATTTTCTGAGGTGACTGGATTACTTCACACCATTCAATGTTAAATCATGATAGATTCTACCATCTACTGTCATATGGAGCAGGCATTAGCACTTGACCTTACATGAGTGATATATTGGAAATTAATAGATTCCAGTAAGTCATAAAGAAGGATTTAATAGAAATCTATACAAGTCAGAAAGCAACAGCGAATCTGTTGGCAAATTGACTGGTGTATAAACTCCAATAACACAGAGATGTGAACAAGGAGTAGCAGTCCATTCGGCCCTTTTGAACTCTGATGTTCATATAGTCATGGTTGATCTGTTGTGTTCCAACTTCATACCCATCTGTCCCGAATAACCTTTGATGCTCATGCCAACCAAGAATCTATCCAATGAGCTTTAAAAACATCCAACAGCGCCATCTTCATCACTTTCTAAGGCAGAGAGTTCCAAAGTCACACAATCGCCAGACGAAACAAAAAATTCCGCCATCTTTCTCGTAATTTGAAACCAGTATCCTTTAGTGATGGACTTACCCATAAGACTAGAAGACAGAGAAGTAGTAGTAGGTCATTTGACCAACTGACCAATCTGCCATTTAATGAGATCATGGCTGATAATCCTCATCTGCACCTTCCTTCCTTTCTATATAATCCCTGATTCTTGAAATAGCCTCTACAGCCTCTGTGGCAAAGAATTCCACAGATTCTTTACCCTCAGAGAAGAAATTCCTCCTCTTCTGACTTAAATGGGATAGCTCTTGTTCTGAGATATGTCTTCTGGTTCTAGACTTTCCTACAATTCAGATTGAAAGTAAATAGGGGAAATATTTACAGGTTACAAACTAAAAGACCAGTAGGAAATTTTAAAAAATCAAATTAAGAACTAAGCAAATAAAATAGAGATTCAGAGCAATGTGATGTGTTGTACCTGCATGAACTGGTGGATCCCATTGTAGTTCATAGTGACCACATCTGCGGTAAGAAGCTTGAGGAACACAAGCTTAGAGTTGATGAGCTGGATTCTGAGCTTTAAAAACTGTGATACATCAGGGAGAGGATTGCAGCCAGTGACTAGTGGAGTTCTGCAGGGGTCAGTGTTGGGACCATAACTATTCATGTTAGACATCAATGATCTGGACGAAGGAACTCAGGGCATTGTTGATAAGTTTGCAGATGGCACACATGGTGGGTGGAGGGTCAGGTAATATTGAGGAATTGGGAAGCTACAGAAGGACTTGGACAGGCTGGGAAAGTGGGCAAAGAAGTGACAGATGAAATACAATGTGGGAAAGTGTGAGGTTATGCATTTCAGTAGGAATAATTGCAGCGTAGACTATTTTCTAAATGGGGAAGGGCTTATGAAATCTGAAGCACAAATGGACTTCGGAGTTCTAATTCAGGATTCTCTTCAGGTTAATATGCAGGTTCAGTTGACAGTTAGGAAGGCAAATGCAACATTAGCATTCATTTCAAAAGGGCTAGAAAATAAGGGCAGACTGCATTTGGATATTGTGAGCAGTTTTGGGTCCTATGTCTAAGGCATTGGAGGAGTCCAGAGGAGGTTTCCAAGAATGGTGCTGGGGATGAAGGTCTTGTCATACGAGGAAACATTAAAGACTCTGGGTTTGTACTCAATGGAGTTTTGAAGGATGAGATGGATCTTTTTGAAACTCAAAGAATACTGAGAGGCCTGGATAGAGTGGTTATGGAGAAGATGTTTCCATTAGGAGGACAGATTGGGCCCTGAGGGAACGCCTCAAAGTGAAGGGACAGCTCTTTAGAACTGAGATGAGAAAAATTTCTTCAGCCAAATGATGGTGAATCTGCGGAACTGATCTATGCAGAAGACTATGGAGACCAAATCATTTAGTGTACTATCGACAGAGACAGGTAGTTCTTGATTGGTAAAGGGATCAAGGGTTATAGGGAGGAAGCTGGAGAATGGAATTGAGAAACATTATCAGCCATCATCAAACAGTGGAGCAAACTTGATGGACGGAATGGCCTCATTCTGCTCCTATATGTTATAGTTTTATTGGAAAAAAATGTCAACATCTACCCAGTCAAGTCCCCAAAGAATCATAAACGTTCTAATCAGGCCACGTCTCATTCTTCTACACTCTAATGAGTACAAGCCCAACCTACTCATGATCTAATCATGAAAATATCCCTCCATGCCGAGGATCAAATGAGTGAGCACTTTCTGTGTTGCCTCTAATGTCAATATATATTTCCTTAGATCAGGGGATGAAAACTGTTCACAGTATTCTTACTGTGGTCAGACTTGTACCTTATATTGTTTTACCAAGATCTCCTTATTTTTATCCTGCAAGGCCAGAAAAGTAAACATCCTTCCTTCCCATCTCCACCCTGTCAAAGTCAATTGAGATTTTTCTATTATTCACTTGTGGAGTACGGGCGTCGCTGGCTGGCCAGCAATTATTGCCTGTCCCTAGTTGCCGTTGAGAAAGTTGCGTTGAGCTGCCTGTGTGAATCACTGCAACCCACATGCTGCAGGTTAAGTCTCAATGCCACTAGGGAGGGAATTCCAGGATTTTGGCCCAGTGACAGTAAGGGAAGAATGATATATTTCCAAGTTAGTACGGTGAGTAACTTGGAGGGGAACTTGCAGGTGATGGTATTCCCATGTATCTGCTACACTTGTACTTCTAGAATGAAGCAGTCATGGCTTTGGGAGGTGCTGTCAACAGATCTTTGGTGAATTTCCACAATGCATCTTGCAGATGGCAAACTCTACTGCTATTGAGCATCGGTGGTGGAGGGACTGGAGTTTTATAAACTTCAATTGAGTTTGCCTCTGCTCTTCTAAACTCTGATGAAAACAAGGTCATCCTGTTCAAAGTTCCCTTAGAAGACAACCTGTTCATTCCAGGAATCAATCTAGTAAACCTCCTCTGAACCATCTCTGATGCATTTACATCCTTTCTTAAACAAGCAAACTAAAACAGCATCCAATATTTGAGATGAGGTCTGATCAATGTCCTGTATAACTGCAACATAACATCTTTACTTTTATGTTCAATTCCTTTTGTAATAAAGGCTAGCATCCCATTAGGCCTCCTTTGACATGCTGTACCTGCACACTGATATTTTGTAGTGCATGTACAAAGACTCTAAGATTTCTTTGCACCTCAGAAGTCTGCATCTGCTCTCCACTTAAATAATCTGTTTTTCATCCTTCTCACCCAGGTGAACAACTTCACATTTTCCCACATAACAGTCTATTTTCCAGAAATGTTCCCATTCACTTACACACCTACATCTATGTTATACTTCTTGACAACAACTTTACCTACATATGTTTGGGTCATATGCACATGTTGCCATCATATCTTCAACCCACTTCATGTAAGTCATTTACATAAATTGTAGAAAGTTGAGGGCCCAGTATGACCTGTGAGGAACCTTCCCCAACCCATCCCCACTTGTGACATCCTGTTAATTTTAAACAGACTCACTTATGTATACTGTCTGTTTTCTGCAAAAAAAAACCCTGCAAATTCTTAGTTATGACTTCTTTAACAACTTAACCTCCTTATTTCCCTGTTTGCTGGCACTCTCCCTTCCTGAATAGAGGGATTATCTTTGCTATTCTCCAGTCTAATGGGACTTTTTCTGAATAAAGAAAATTTGGCGAATTAATACCAATATATCTACTCCTCATTAGCCATCTTGTTTAAGCCCCTAGGATGAGGTCCATCAGGACCCGAAAACTTATCAACCTGAAGCTCCATTAGTTTGATCATTTTCTAGTAATTGTAATTTCACCAAATTCCTGTTTTCCTTCAGCTTCCAGATTCAGAAGTATATTGGAACATTTTTCATATCCTGTGAAGTGAACACAGAAGCAAAATACTTATTACATCGGCAATTTCTCTATTATCTGACTCTCTATTCTCACTCTTGAGAGGACCAACACTTACTTTAGTTATTCTTTCCTTTTAGAAAGCATTAGAAACTCTTGCCACATGTTTTTAGCTAGTTTCATTGAATACTTTAATTCATTATTCCTGTTTAAACTTTCTGTTGTTTTCTACTATTCTTTGTATTCTGACCGGTTATCTGACCTGCCATTCATCTTTGTGCAATTTTATGCTTCTTCCTTACTTTGATGCTTTCCTTAACCATGGAATTTTTCATTGGACAATGTCACTTCCAAGTATTCCAAAATACCCTTTAAAATATCTGCAACTGTATCTGTATTGATCTGTCCCCTCACCTAATGTCCCATTTCAATTCGGTAGTTTCAGGTAGGAGAGTAGTCAAGGTGGTGAAGAAGGCAAAAACAGAAACAGAAACAGAGTTTTACAGAGCTCACAGATGC